GGAAGTCACAATACAGATCACGCAAGATTTGTCAGACTTACTAGTCTTACATGGCAAGTATAAAAGGAGACGCGGTCATATGCTCTTCTTGATCCTGGCTGCTACTCTGCCTATGGCTACATACTCATCAATAGACCTCTCTAATATGTTGCACCGCGTAAACTCTGGAAAGAACAGCCACAAACCCGTCACCATCACAAACCCGATGGTCAAAACCCGACTAATTGCTGTCGGGAGAATCCACCTTCCGTTAATAGTCTTCTTGATGGCAATCTCCACCGTCGTGCAAAATCCGTTTACAAGGAAGAACCACATTACCTTCCAATCCGGCCTCAACCGTCCAATGTAGAAGAAGACGAGCTCGTGCATTAACCCTGAAACAACGAATGTCAAGAAAACTGCAGGATATCGGGACCAGTCTCGGGGTTGGCCCCAGGCAGAGAACAGCTGGATCAGCGGCTCGTACACGGTAGGCCGTAGGATTCCAGTGACCATCAAGTTCCACCGTCTCCCCCAGAAATTTTGAAGTGATGTCGCCAAATACGGCTTGTTGAACTGTGGCTCGAGCTCAAGACCGGACATGGCTCGAACCAGAGCGGCTGCAGCGGCTAGCATGAGCACGAGGAAGAAATATGTGTGGATCGCATAGAGAGTCAACACGGCTTTCTCAGGCAGATTGGTTTTGTAAGCGTAGACTTTACTGAAAAGAACCAAAAGAGCCACCTTTATGATATACTTCAAGGGGCCATCTGTAGATCCACCTCCATTGGAGTGAGATGTAGGAGGTTTAGGGCTCAGCTGAATATTAATTGGCAAGCAAGAAACCGCGAAGAAAATAGGGAGAGATAAGGGTCTAGGGTTTGAAGAGAGAGGACCAAGTCCTAATGCAAAGAGAACGATCTTGAAATTAGCAAGCCAAGCGATGAAGAAAGCTGTTATGCCGATTAAATGCAAGGAAGACATTAAGAAAGGAAATATGAAGAAATAGAACAAGACAGGGATGATCAAAATCAGCCTTTTGATTCCTTTTGGAACCAATTTAGCAACGTAAAAAGTGTAACACAATGAGAACATTACTAAACCCCAAGCCTCTATGAAACTCACCATTTCTGTGTTTTTTGTTTTTTTTGCTTCGTAAGTTGAAGGTATCGAAGGAAGAAGATCATGATATCAGTAAAAAAAATCTTACTAAACGATTTATCGATTAAACAAACAAATATAGCGTGCATCGATGAAAACCATGTGCAAATTTATTTTTAAAAATGTTCTAACCAAGATTACAGTTGACATTAACTAGTTTGAGTTAAGGGTATACCTCATTAGTAACTCAAAAAAGTCACCAGTGATGAATCAAACTAAAATTATATGATTTGAATTTAACTTAGAATGAGCTATAGTTGATTTACCATTTTGAGTTATGGCCCATGTAAATTTGCTAACTTAAAAGTTAATACGAAATCATGGAAAATGGGATGAATTAGATGTTGAGTTAGTGATTTTGGTTTGATTATTCTTTTTATCTCCACGAAAATTTTCACTGTTTTTTTTGCTTATTCCAATACTGCACATAGTTAAATAAAAATATTGTCTTAAATTTTAAATAGTAAAGACTAGGTTAAAATTTTGAAAAAAAATAATAATGTTGAATGTTTTTCTTGTTGGTTATCATCAATTGTTTTATATTAGTTATAGATTTTTTATTTCGTTTGTTGTGACTTTTCAAGTCATTTAGTTTCAGTATTAAATAAAAAGTTTATGAGCCTATAATTGGGGTTTACACATTTTTCATAAAACCCTACAACATTTATAATTTAAAACAACTAACTTGCTAATTTTGTAAAGTTCGATAAGGTAGAATCATTTTATTGTGTCAATTTTTTGTTGTTTGGTTTCAGTAGAACGATAACTTCTTTTAAAATATTTTTGGTTTATTTTGGTCTCTGATAAGTTTTGTTCGGTTATAGTTCATTTACAACCCGCCAAAAAGAAAAAGAGTTATTTTTAAGCTAATATAAATCAAGTTAATATAACATTTTTTTGGTTAATTTTCTATTTTATTTATGAATGCTTGCATGGCATGATACTATAGGTTGATTTAAATCCTATGTAGACACTTTTAGGAGCTAATAGCTTCAACTTTTAGATAGTATAAACGTATCAAATTGGTTTAAGTAATATTATTTAATCTATTTTGTTATTGTATTAATGTTACAAAAAATGGTTTATGATTAAGATAAAATTATTTTAATTAGTCGATTTTATTATTAAATTTGTAATAAATTTTATTATTTTTATTTTTAATTTATTGTCACTAACACATAATGCAACTTATACATCATAAAAGCCACCAGCTAGTTATATAGATAAAAAATGTTAATTCATATTTAT